AAAAATCTAATGTATTATTTGTAATATTAGAAAATTGGTAGCTACATTTTTTCAACCACATGAGAGGGAGACAAAGGAGAAATGACCATTGATCCACATCTTGCAGCCAAGGAGGCATGAAAGTGATAGAAGCAGGACAGAGACACAGGGGAGTCAAGTAGTGGTAGTGTCTAGACGGCCACCCCTCAGAGGTACAATAACTATAGAAAGATGACCACAATGTAAGAAAGTAAATATATTTAAAATAAAAAACATAAAGGTAGATGAAAAAAAAAAAAAGAAAATTGGTAGCACCCTAAACATCTCTTAACAGGAAATACTTAAATTATGCTACATCCCTTACTTGGGAAAAAAATAACAAATTAGCTTTGTGTTATTGTTATGAAGTGATATCAAGATATAATATTAAAAAGTCAAATTGCAAAGTGTGCAGTGATATCAATTTTAGAAAATATATATTGATTTTTACTTTTGCAACAGGCCAGAGGATAATGCTGAACTGTTGGGAGTGATCATTTACCTGTTTTTATATTGAAGGTAGTGGATCAAGTGTGGGGTCGGAATGAAGAAGGAATTCCATCTTTTGCTCTATATTGTGTATATTGTTCAGAAGTCTTACAATGTATGTGAAGAAAGGGTCTTTGGAATTAGTTATCACACAAATGTAAGACATTATTTAAATAGAAGACATTATTTAAATCTAGAAAACTGCTCAACTGATAAAGTCTTGCCAACTATAGTGATTACTGATTCTTGATTTAAAAAATTCTGACCATTATTAATACTGTTTAAAACTCTGCATAAAACAGGCTGAAAAATAATTGCCAGCTTATTTTCCAAAACTTAAAGATTTTAAAAATCTCTTCCAAAAGCAAGACTCTATAAATGTAACATGTTGGCAGGTAGAACATGTCCTGTGGAATCAGCTTTTGCTTGGTATGCTTTTATGTCTTTTTTCTTGACTGTTACATAATGGCATTAGCAAACCGAGTTGGTTAAATGATGCCAAACTTTGATATTTTAGCTAAAATAATTGTACGGCATCTAATTAGTAGGAAAGAGGCAGGTAACATAAAATGTCAATCATTTTAATAAAATTAGATTTAGCTTTCTATTTCCAAAGAACGGGGTTCAGAATAACTCACCTGTGAAAGTAAAATACATAATCTACCATAGACACAGGGTTCTGAGCCTTTCCATTAAAAAACAAAACAAAACAAAACAAAACAAAACACAATGAACAAAAAACAAAACAAAACAAAACAAAACCAAGGATTCTATAATCTACCAACCTGTCTTTACTTTGGAGCATGTGAACAAATTCAAACAAACGTTGAAAAGTAGTGCTCAGTTCTGAACAATGAACATCTATCACCTGACATCTGTACACAAGTAAATGTCATGATTTTTCCACTTCTTTTCTAAGAAAGAGTAAGCACCATCATGAAGTGTCCGGTTGACCTCTCTCTCAAGCTCTATTGGGCCAACCCCCTCTCTCCTCTACGGACCCCCTTGCCCTTCCCTCCTGCCCCTCCACACACACTTAAGCTGTGGGAGCCAAGGCCAAGCTCATTTCTTCAGAGTCTGGGTCTAACAGACCAGTGCTAAACTAAGCCACAAGCTCAGAGTCAAGGTGAATGTACAATCAGTATGAACAAATCAGTAAGGGTTTTAAATATGCATACCTCTTTCTACACAGATTTTTAAAAATTTTCTTTTACGTATGCATAAAGAACAGCGGTGTAGGCCATAGGTGTGGGAGAGTGAGACAATTCACCAGAGAGAGTGGGGAGCAGAAAAGGTGGATCTACTGAAGTACACTGCAGGGGGGAGCAGCTGGTAAGACAGGAGAAGTCTGCTGTGCCATGGAGGTCAGCTCCCTGGCTGGGGATCAAAATTGCGCTGCAGTGGCTGCTGATAGCTTCACAGTACCGAGACTTAACCCCTTGCACCACAGGGACGTCCCCCACATTTTTTTTTATTTTTAAATTCAAATCTTGCATCTTAACTCTAAGTTGGATCTTCTATACATAATTCCAAACCCTTTTTGAAGTAAGCAGAGTAAATAATGTCCTGTATTAAAAATCAGAAGAACATGCATATAAAAATGCCTGGAGACTTAAGGACTACATCTATAGCATGACTATGGTTATTAACTAAGTGAGTTACCTAAGTTAAGACGTTAATATTGAGGGTTCCTAAAAATTCTTTTGAAATGAGGCAGGTAAACTCTTTTTAGCACTACTAATACAAGTCTCTCTGTTTTTATAGAAATTTGCTTTCTATCTCTTATCAAGTTTGGAGAGTCAGTCATTAAAAAAATATAAAGTATTCCTATAAGGAAATCTGATCATCTTACAAATAATGAGAAGTAGTTCTGGAAAACAATAGGGCAAATGAGAAAACCTGATAAAGATGTCCATTTTTAAAAAAGCAATGGTAAAAATTTGAACTATTTATTTGCTCTAGGTAGGCTATTCTGCAGACATTTGCAAGTAGCCAAATAAATTATGTGCACCAAGTCAAAGCGTATCCCAAATACAGTTTCTACAGCCAGAATTCCGAGGCAAGCAAACCAAAACTGTCTTCCTTACCTGAAAAATTGCAGAGAAACCCACCACACATCTCTTAGGAAAGCATTCCAGTGTTTGAAATGGGTAATGTAAAAAATAGCCCCTGGAGAGTTCACAAGCAGCTGGAGAGCCCCACACTCTACTGACTGATACATAATCTCCAGCATCTCATGTGGATTCAATTTTAAAATATAGACATCACAGAATGGATGATTTAGCAAGATGAATAGGATACCTAAAGAGAACACCTGTGATGAGAAAAAGGCCATCCCAACCGCACACTTTAAAAGTGAGGATTTTATAGTATGTGAATTAGATTTCAATAATCAAAACACACGCACACACACACACACAACAAAAAAATATAAAAAACAAAACTACTGCAGGTGACATTTTGCTGCTACTGACAGAGGTACATATGTGCCCCATTCGGAGCCCCCCTTCTCAGCAGCCTGCTCTCCAGTACCCTGCTCTGCTTTGTGCACAAGCCATCACCTCCCATCATCATGGACTTTGCGCTTCATGAGAAACCTGCTGTGGCAGGCAAGACCAAGCTGACCTTGACAGTGGGAATCACCCCCAGGGGCTCCTTTGTCTCCTTTTGGTCTTTTTTTTTTTTTTTTTTTTTGGGGAATTATTTTTTTTTGCTTTTTTTTTTTTTTTTTTTTAGGGGAAGAGGGAGTTTTTATTCCATTAGCTTAATGTTCTAATAAACTCTCTGAACAAAAGAGG